ATACTTCAAAAATTTGTTTCAACCTTACACTGCTGACCAGTCAGGGAAAATCAGTACAAACGGCTGCAAGAATGCCTTCAAATCAGTCAAGTTGCCAAGTTTGAAAGTGATTTGTTGAAAACTAGTCAAGGTGAGGCCTGGCAAAGTTTGTATGGTGGGGGGCATGAACAAACCTCTGTAAAATTTTGTGATTTTGTTGAGCAATATCTTCACACACTCTGGTCCTATCACTTTAAACTTGAGAAATTTTCTAACTTAGGGCACTCTTTCCTTTCCAGTAGTGTTGATGTATATTTGTTTGGCAGTCTTTATAAGAAGTTTACAAAGACTGTAAAAGGGACTATTGCACTCCTGGGACATGCTTTTGAGGTGGCTACATTATTTTGTAAGGTACCAGGACACTTCCTATGACAGATACCCCCATAAGCTGGACAATTCTCTAAGGTGGATTACCTTGTAGACATTGCCCTATGGAGGACACTACAGAGGACAAGAAAATGATTTGAACTTTGATATTTAGTGCACTTAAATGAACCAGTTAACATCCAGTACTATGTGTATGTACAATGTATCAAAAGGCATCCAAATTTTTTTAGCATCTGTATCCACTGGCACTGTTCTTCTTTTAATATTATTGGCCTGTGGTGCACATGTACTTGTACATATAGCTATTTCCAGAAAGGTTGTCAGGAAGAGTGCATGTGACAAGCACGAAAGGTATTGTGGGTGGTTTTGAGTTCACTGTTCTTCAAAGAAATTTAAAAGAATGGCATGAGAGGCCATGGATATATGTCTTGTGAGTGCTAAAGGAAAGCAATAAAAGTAGCTTTGACAGCTACAGTGTCAGGAACAGTGTATTGATCATATTGATTGTCACGTGCACATTTTTTCTGACAACCTTTCTAGAAATAGCTGTATACAAAATGGCTACATGTGCAGATACAAGACAGTATTAGTCATCACTGAAATGAAACTGATCTTACCATGTCCTTCAACTGCCTCTGCAAAAAATAGACAGAAAAGATTTCAGTTAAAGGTCATAAAAATACATTTCTTAATAAACATTAGAAAATAACATGTATTAGAAGTCAGAATAATTATTCAGGGCTGAAAATAACGGCCAGTCAACAGACAATGTCCGGCCTGATCGCAGACTTGACCGGTCAAACTCTGGTCTTGCCGGTCATTTCGCCGGTCATTTTTGGATACAAACATTTTATTTTCCATACAGTGGTTGCTTAATGCTCTATAATGCTACAATGATAAATCTTTTTTTCTTTGGCATTTTTTGCTGCTTTGCACTAAACCCTTCTAAGAAAAAGATCGCCGCAATAAATTAATTTCATGTCATCATGTGCTAATGAAACGCAACAAAGTGAATAACAAACTGAGTTGAAAAGTAACGCATTGTTGCAAGTCGTACTGTACTTTCTGCTTTGCTTTAATCAGTAATGCGGCCTTCTTTGGAAATTCAAAGGAATTCGGGCAAATCGATCGCAATTCTCAACAGGCCGTCCTGTGTTTCTCTGGGAATAAATGTTAGCACATTGATTAATAATAATTTCTTTTATGTGGAACATGAATCTCTTTTGCAGACTCGATTCCAGAATGGTCTGATGAAAATTTAAGCTAATCAAGAGGGAAGGTCGTCGTCTATCTTGGCGCTAGATTCTCGTTCTTATAAACAACTTCATGCAAATTACTGTTGACATTTGAGCCCTTCGCGATAAAATGTTGCACGACGACCCAAAAAAACACGCTGTCTGTGGAACAAACTTCTTGCCAATGCAAATCAACTTCTTTGCCGAAAATATTAGCGATGATTCTTCTTTGAGGAGGTGACTTTCGATCACATGCCAAGCAAGGAAAAAGAGCACGTTTCACTGATGATCATTTCAGAACATCAACATTAAAACAAGTGTGTGCAGATTTTTTTTTTTTTTCGTAATTCCTAAAGTTTGCTGAACTGTATGTGTATTCCGTTTCCTGAACCTTGAGAGTTTGAAAAGGATTTGCGCTTCACTTTTTACCTCTGAGACTTCAGACACTGCTGTGCAATGACACTCAAGGTAGAATATAACATTAAAATGTGTGAAAAACGGGGAAAGGAACTCTACAATGTGCGAATGCATTTTTCACCAATAACTTGCTCTCAAAATAGTGAATGTTAGTGTAGTAATAACGATCTACTGCCAGCATAATTGGATATTCCTTAGGTAAAAAAAAAATTATTAGTATTCATTATTTGACTGGCCAAAATCGGGGTTTGTCCGGGCTAAAAAATATTTGGCCGGTCATCATAACCGGAAACCTGCTGTCTGTTATTTTCAGCCCTGATTATTGCAGTATGATTTTGTCATTAAGCAGTAAATGAACAGCAGTAAATGCAGTAAGCAGTAAGCAGTAAATGAACTTTGCCTTAGAATATCTGGCAAAAAACCACATTGACAATGTCTTCTTTCTCAGTACAGTGTAGCTGGCAGGGAACATGCATTTTGCAGTCACTGAAATTAAATCTTACACATGTAAATGCTGTAGGTAAAGTCTACTCTCTTTCTTTCTTATATTGTTTACAGCATACTTAATGCATAGACAACTCCTAAAATAACTTACAGCTAGTAACAGATTTTCACCATCATTTTCGTCAGTGATAACAGGCACTTCGCTCTTTTTATTGAATTTACACTGGACATTTAAAAAATTTTCAAACTTCAACTTTATAAAGGAAATTAAGCAAATCCAAAAGTGTATTGATTTCAGGAGATCGTCGCCAGTTTGAAATCCGTGAGGCGGCACAGACAGAAATTGTAAATACATGTGGAGGTACAGTGTAAGCTTAAGTCTTAAATTTTAAAATATTGGTCTCAAATAAATTTCACAGTTTTAAACGCGTGTACATATTTGTGTCTCGACCGATATAAAAGGTAAAGGGCTGAAGATTAAATATTAAAATCTGTTACTTAAAATACTTACTCTTTTTACCGCCTGCAGAAGCAATCTTCGAAATTCCGTAGTATGTGATTCCAAAGCCTGCAATCAAGAACCGCAGATCGTACAGGAATGGTCCAGTTCGAAGAGCATAGCTCTTGACTCTGTTGTATATTTGCATCATCTTGATCTGGGCTACAAAAAATCAATTGGACCATTAAAAACAGTTTAACATTAATTATTGACATTAATTTTGGAAGGTTAAAACGCTGTCGGTAAGGACTTACTTGCAAAAAAAGAGAGCAGAAAAACTCAACTTCCACGCAGAAACAAAGATGGCGGCACAATATGTAACGAGCATGACCTTCAAAGGCACAGGCAGACCACAATACGCGAGGGCGCATAAGGCATTTTCAAAATGGCGTCTGCATTGAGCGATTCCACCACATGGAATAACAATTTTGTTCCGCGTCTCCGTGCACAAATGTTTTGTCTCAAAATGTTGTTTTTGCGGTATCACTTCCTCTCTAAAAGTTTTCGAATGTCCGTAGGAAGGGACCTACTTTTCGAGTGTGTAGCTTCTTCCAACCAAGAGGTTCGCTCCATGCTTCGGTGCCGGAAAGCTGGTATTTGTACTCCCGCTGTTTTCTTCGTTGACTACACCACCCACTGCATTTACATGGAAGAGATAGAGAACAGTGAAACGGCTCGCGATCACATCAACAATCTTTTAGGCAATCCAGAAGAGAAATCGGAGCAGATATTACAAGTTCTAGCCGAGAAAATAGGTTCGTGCTTGGCTGATATGCACAATGTGGATTGCATTCACGGCGATCTCACCACGTCGAATATCTTGTTAAAGACCGGTGCTGAGAACATTATTCTTATAGACTTCGGACTGAGTTTTATATCAGCTTTAACGGAGGATAAAGGTGTTGATCTGTACGTTTTGGAAAGGGCTTTTCTCAGCACTCATCCAAATACCGAAGAGCTATTCAAGATTATTTTGGAAAGTTACAGAAAGAAAGCTAACAAGGCTGAAGAGGTAATCAAGAAATTAGATGAAGTGAGGCTGAGAGGAAGGAAGAGAACCATGGTTGGATGACAGCGTCAAGTGTCAAGCTGCTTTATTATACATTTTTTATGTGTTAAAAACTGCTCTTAAAACAACATTGATAACAACAAAATGGTAAAGGTGGTGCATAGGAGTCTTTGTAGACAAAGTAAACCAATGTTCTAAAATCTAAATCTAAATGTTATTCAAATGCCAGGTTACAAGCGACCAGATATTATTATTCCTTTTTTAAGTCCAAATAACGTGCCACTTACAAGTGAAAGGTTATTTTCCCTTAAAAATAAATTACCATTAATTGAAACAGCGATTTTACCCTGACACACATGGTGCTTCGAAAATGTCTGAAATGGCAGAATGTATGCCACACTGTTTTGGTCATCTGCCAGTCACAGTGGTCTTGCTCTGTAGGTGGCAATCACAGCTTAAACCCTAGGCTATACCTACAAGGAGCTTATGATAAAACTGCAAAATGTAAATCATACCTATGACAATCAAGTGGATTGTAGATGTTACTTACACAATACAACTCATGTTGTAAGATTATTGTAAGCACATCCCATGCCACAAAAGTTTTTCGTATAAATTGGTCCTTAATGTTACTGCAGAGCATGGATGCAAGATCATTGGTCATGTTTTCTGAATGGAATAATCACCACCCAACTCTCTCTGCCCAAACCACCCACCTTGGTCAGGACTTAAGACCATGTCTTAGATTTCACACTTGCTGGATGTTGCAGGTAATTTTTTTATCTCAGGTAATTTTTCTTTTTCTTTTGTTTCAACTTCATTAGCATACATGACCATACCTAAAAACAAAAGAAAAACTGAGATATCTGATATAAAAACCTAACTACAACATATGCACCTATGTCTTCCATTCATAAAATGCGTACCAGTATATGTAACACCTTGGGGCTACAAAAGGTTGTCTGTCCATATAAAGGGTTGCTGTCAGAAGAAAAAGACTGGAACTTTGTATCCGAAGGAAAATGGCTGCGACAACAGGGTAGTTGTTTTAACAAGGAGCTCATGTGAAGGGGTGCCACTATATTATGTGATCCCTGTAAGACATATCAGACAAGATATCTTTTCCGTTGAGGATTTCGGTGCTCTCAAGTCATGTTTCTCATATTTTATTTATTTCTGTTACAAGCTCAAGATATATGATTTCATTAGGCCATTTTACAGTTACATGCTACAGTTGCATGCTACAGTTGCATGCTAAAGACCCTAGTCTTAGAGTGCACGGAATCAAGGATGTGGGTGCCTTTGTTCACAGAACCCTCAGCGTCACTCATGTGCATTTGAACATTATTCACATTTCTGCTCAAGGCCGGGGTACTCGGCACCCAACTTTAAAACTACCATTAAGAGTTTTTACAAAAAAAGGCTCTACATTTTGCTCTACTGGACTTATTCGATTTCTTCAAAAAAACCTTATATATGTCAGTAGAATGTAGATCTAAGTAAGTAAGTGGTAAGTAGTTTATTTAAACATGTAACACTAAAGAGCTTACAATAAACTTATTCGAATGGCACTTAATTTATAAGACTACAGTAGAAACTATAACCGCAAAGGATCTCAGAAGTATCATTCTACTGCATACAAAAAATATATACAAGACACGTGTACTAAAATTTGATGAGTATAGATTTGGCCAAGCCTAAAAGTGGAGCTCCTACATTTCACTTTAAATAAACTTTAAACCATTGCGAAGTGAGAAAAATATAGTGGAATTAACTTGTTTGAAATCAGTAATTAAAGAAAAAATCGAGACAAAAACTGAAAATTGAGCCTGCCATTCAAAAAGAAAATTGTCAACTGGTCAGCGATTAATTTCTAAAAAGGCGACCTGGAGTTACTAGCCGGGCTATCGCGAAATACCTGGCATGTACTTGATACTATAGTTGTAGTATCAACAACTACCTAAGATACGAGATATCAATATGCAGGGGCGTAGCTACGAATTTTTCTGAGGTACACACAGTGAATCAAGTCTCAAATAGTTTCCCCGAGCAAGATGAATTAAAACAAATTCGCATCTCTACCAGTGCGTTGAGGTAAACATATCTCTCCTGGTCGTAGGACCGTGTTCTGCTAGCAACATCAGAGAAAACACTTCATTATTTTGGTTTGCAATTGGACTTTTTTCAGCTGCTACTTATTTCCCTTCTGTTTATTTCCTTTCATTTGTTTATCCATTTTTTTCGGCATTTGTTTAGGTACGCACGTGCGTATCAACCTACAAATAGCTATGCCCCTGATATGTGTACATAAAGAGAATCTGTTCAAGGTGGTTTCTTTGATACTACAGGCAGGCAAAGGCACACTAGACTTGACTTTAAGATCTTCCTTTGCCACGTCTCGAAATATTTCTTCACCTTGCATAAGCCATGTATCACAAGGACTTGTTGTTTTAGGTGTCAATGTTGTGTTTTGCTGGGAAATGTTCAGACAAAACTTCCCTGAGGATGCTGATTCCTCGAGAATGAGACTACCTCTTTCAATGTTTAAGTGACATATCTGTTTTTGTGACCAGCAAACCATTTATAGTCAGGTTGTTCTTTTCTGAAGTAATCATCTCTGCCACTTCCATCCAGCGGTCTTTGAATGAAGTTGTCGTGGTGTGCAGACCCTTGCTGTTGAGAATCCTTTCAGTGTTTTCCTCGGCAGCCAGATCAATTAAAATTTGAAGCTGTTCTGTTTTTATTGTTGCTGTATTAGTAAGCATGCCTACCTCCTCCCAGAATCGAACAGCTTGCATAACAACTGTAGTTAAGGTTTTGATGTCTCCTAGTTTTTCATGGCATGCATCTCTTTGCCTTTTTAGGTATTCCACTTGGCTTAAAATCTTACTTTGCTCCTTCTCTGCCTGAAAAGCAAAAAGTAATTTATAATTTTATAATTTAATGAACTGAAACAACACTAACAAAAGATGAATGACTGCCATTGTAGTTTGTTCTCACTTGAGTAAGCTAGTGAGTAACAAACTGCAATGCAAAACTGGTCCCTGAGTCAGGAAAGCAGTGAACCAATTAAACGCGTCCGCAAGTTAAATGGCGGTAACATTTTTTTCTACCTAAAAGGACTGTCGTCAGTGACAATAAAGTCTGCGAGGTGTTTTTTATAACTTATTGAAAAAAGAAAGAAAAACAGCCCACGATCAAAGATATGAGTGTAACATGTGAATTATATAGACCCTTTGATAACTCACGTGGTATAGAAACGCCATGCTAGAAAACAAGAAACGCCTTTGAGCTCACAGGATTTAAATAAGGGGGGGGGGGGAAGGGGGGGGCAAGGAGGGGAAGAAGGGGGTGTTTATCATTCCACTCTCGAAACCTATTTGGTTGTTTCATTATTAACTATAAAGGGCATTATATCATTAATTTCTCTCAAAAATTTTTTCGTTGTACTGTTCCTTTACAGCCTGAATTTCAGTCGTCTCCTTGGGTCACAGCTCCCAAGATAATTCCCTTCTACAGTTGTTACCAATGGACCACCGGAATCCTCCTATACGGCTCTGCCCAACCGAGCAACACGAGAAGTTGTTCTAGGTGTCCATAATGAAATGCACTTCAACAATAGACGAAATAGACATGACCTTTTCCTCTGGCACTAATCGTACAACGGTGAACCCATGGACCATTGGAATACGTTTCTTTTAAGAGATGGCATTCACCAATAGAACCAACATTCTCACATCCATTTCTACCGTAACCAATCGTACCATTGATAGAACCCATGAACCACTGGAATTTCCCTTTTGCCATCCAGGCTCAAGAGAAGCTACCCCGGCTATAGAACCAATAGATTGCATTTATCAATATATATATTGAATATAATATTTATTAATTGAATATAATATTTATTAATATTTTTCGAATATTTATCAAACCATTAGTACCAACAGACAGGTGAAATCGTTCCAAACGTATTTGTACCATTGGCATCATCGACCCCAATCACCAATTCCCGTGGGTGAAGCAAAATTTAACAAAAGGAATGTGCAAACTAGGGCTTGGGGTAGACTTGGGATTGATGGTTGGCCTGCAAATTTAGATGTATTTTACGCTTTTAGACGTCAATTTTCTGGTGGATTCCGTTATAATGTGTCTAGGCCAGTCAGATGTTCGCGGCAGTACCTAACCTAAAAGCCTAAATTCAGATGGTCAGTGCGAACATTCTTTTAATTCTTGCTGTGCAATGTAACGCTTCAAGTTGGCTGGTAATCACGTAATACATTGGTCTAAAAGCTTTGAATATCTCTTAAAGTCAACATCAGTCACGTATCAAAAGTTACCGTACAAACGTTATGTATCATCATCAAAGCAATGTCGATGCTCAACAACTTCAAAGTTTAATTTGACTAGTTGGGTGTATCAAAATACTCAGCGGCACCGATAAACTGGGAGCTTATCGCAATAGATTCCAATTGTAAAGAGCACCAGCTGACTGTGCTGGGCACCTTGTCTTCGAGGCAAATATTCCTTGAATGTGGGCTGTTGGATATGCCTATAGCCATCGCAATGGGAATGTGGATAAAAGGAGGCCTAGGCATAAGGACTTTGGGAAAAACTCTTTTTATGGGTATATTCTATAATATATTTCTCAAGGCTCAACGTTTTTAGCTTACAAATTGAAATATAGAGGACACAGGACAAATTTAAAATACAAAACTGTACCTCCCAAACGGCAGAGTTCGCCCATGCGATGTCCTCCTCAGCTCTCTCCATATCCCTTTCATAACCTTGCATCTCGTTGTGAGCTTCACGGACCTTTGTCGTGTTGGATTCAAACAGTTCTCGAAGACCAAGGTAGGTGCCATAAATGGGTACCCACCAATAATTTTGAAACTCCTTATATTTGCTCTCAGCATCCTTCATCTCTGTCTGTGCCTGTTTATATCTCCTCCATGCATCCTGCTTCTTTCGACTGCACCGTTCCCTTTCTTTGGCCAACAAGTGTTTCTTCGTTTCCAGTTCTTCTTTTTTCTTTTTTAGATCCTCCTCCTGCTTATACAATTCGTTCATATCCCTTGTAAGGATTTCTACCTTCTGTTGCTGTTCTTTCTTGGCTTCTTTTAGCTGATCACGGAGGAGTGCAGTGTGTTGTCGTAACAGCAATCCACCTTCTTTTATACATTTAAGTTCTAACACTGCAAGACGGGCATCACCGTTTTTAACTGCCTCAAGGGCTGTTTCCAAGGCCCTAAAAAACTTAAAACTTAAGGAAACTAGCGCCATAATTTACTTCGCCAAATATCCCTTACTTCTCAGCAAAGAAGGGCGAAAGCCCAAATTAAACAGGCAAAGCTCTCCAACTGAGGTGCAGAAAAACGCGTCATACTCATTTACATCTCATTAAATGACAAAAAAATGACACAACAGCACATTTTTATATGCCTCTCGTTCTTTAAAGCGCTGAATAAATTTTCCACAATTTCGCACCTCACTTAGCACGCTGGTGAAGACAGCGCATTTAGACTCTCATATTCACAGGCGGACTTCACGATCAAACGTACCTCGTATGCAACTTACAATTTAGGTTTCCTTACTGTCAAATCAACCCAATCATGTAGTTGGGAAATAGAACAGGTTAAACTGAACATTTTAAAGTAAGTAACAAATTGATTAACAAAACACTTTAAAGTCGAGTGCGTCCTGCCCTTTTATTAGCTTTCTTAGTTTCTCAAAATTACTCTTCCCAGCGAAATTCTTGGAAAAGGAGTCAAATATTAATGTTATGTATCTTTGTGTACCACTAAGCAACCAAATATGGTAACAAGAGGCGATCATTGGTCAGATTTATAAGTATGAACTATTTCTAAGAATTCATTGGGAATGTTTGCTAAGAGTTATATAGGTTGAAAAAGTCGGTTAATAGCGGCATTCAACTCGTCCGTAACACAACAACTCAGTGCTTGCCTGTTGTTAACGCTGTGACACTAAAAGGAACACTAAATGGCGTTAAAACCTACTGATTCACAGGTAACAATCGATGGAGAAACGTTCGACCTTATTGTCATACCAAGTGCAGAAAGCCGAATGGTGCAGTCAGCCAAAAAGAAACTTCTAGGCCAACTAGATCTCCAGACCCTTGTCAGTGACTTGGGAAAACTCGGCAAGTTTATGCGCGTTGCCTACAATGGCGTGGCAGGATACACCGAGGTGCAAATTAAAGTACAAACAGTCGGCTACGAGATCACAGAACTGGCAGACAAATCTGCTTTAACAGTAAAACAGTTCAAAGATACATCGCAAGAGGTTCTAGAAGACCTAAAAAGCACCTATCAGTATTTGCTAGATGGTCTAGAGGAGGTGTCGCTAGTTACACTCTCGATGATGGGTAACAAGGCAGCGAATATGGCGGAAGCCGCAGAAGAATTACGAAAAGATTTTGACCAAGCAAAAAAAGTTGTAAAAAGCACCTTAGAAGATACTATGAGAGCAAAAGGTGAAGAGCAGAAGAACAGAGAAATTCTTGAAAAACAACGAAAAAAATTCCAAAAAAAAAAAGAGGAAGCAGAGGAGCTGGAGAGAGATGCACAAGAGGGTCAAGAGCGGGCAAAAATGTTTTACGAAGAGTCTCAACGAAGAGAAGACAAAGCGCAGGACACACATGACAGCATTCTACGTTCGATAGCAGATTCGATCACTGGCGTCTTTACAGGTGTGACAGCCGCCGTGGGGTTAGCAGCAATGATAAGATTCGAACAGGCAGCCGAAAAGTTGATGAAAATTGGTGACAAGTCTGGATACAAAGAGGCTATTCGGATGGCAAACGAAGAAAAGATGAAGCACTTAGAGCAAATGGCGAAGGAACGGGATCATCGCCGGGAAGCAAGACAACAATGCATAGAATTCACACAGAAGATCATAAACTGCGAAAGTGACAGCGATTTAGCTGAGGCAGCCATTGACGCCTTGCACAGCTCTGTTGGTGCACTCAAATCTCTCTCTACCACCATGATGAGAGCGTCTAAATTCTGGAGGCTGATGGAAAACCACTGTAAAGCTTTATCTCGCGGCGAAATTAAAGCAAAGGTGGAAATGATGATGAAGAATCCCAAAAAAGAACGACTAGAAATGTGGACATCGCACGCATTTAAGGAAGAAGCCCTGCGTTACTATTCAAAGTGGGTTGCTTTAGACAACGTGTCCAGTGTGTACATGTTACAGATAGAGGAGACCTCACGGGAATTATACAAATACCTGGAAGAGAACCCAACTATTGAAGAGGCAAGGAAGAATGTGCGTCGTCTGGCTGCTGACTTCGCCGATGATTTAAAGAAAGATCAAGAAAGCGAACGCCTCAACGAAACACAGGCAATCTCCGAATGAAACTTGAACATATTTCATCGTATAAAGGTACATTGGTGAAAGGTTTTCGAAGCTTCAACATTACTCACTCGTTTAATAAGTTTTTTGTTTTCCTATACGTTATAATTTGCCACCCAGAGGAAAATGTGCTTTTTGCGGTATCACGTTTCGCAGAATAGATAACTGTATAAACATTAGCTCTAAAAACAAGAGATTGTACTGATATGCGGAGGATATTTGTTTCACGCAACAGTTTGCTACTCGCTTTGTATCAAAATGAGAACGGCAGAGTTAAAAGTTGTTAAAGAGGTTTCTTTATCATAGACCTCTTTTGGAATACGTTTCTTTTAAGAGATGGCATTCACCAATAGAACCAACATTCTCACATCCATTTCTACCGTAACCAATCGTACCATTGATAGAACCCATGAACCACTGGAATTTCCCTTTTGCCATCCAGGCACAAGAGAAGCTACCCCGGCTATAGAACCAATAGATTGCATTTCAAGTCGAATATTTATCAAACCATTAGTAACAACAGACAGGTGAAATCGTTCCAAACGTATTTGTACCATTGGCATCATCGACCCCAATCACCAATTCCCGTGAGTGAAGCAAAATTTAACAAAAGGAATGTGCAAACTAGGGCTTGGGGTAGACTTGGGATTGATGGTTGGCCTGCAAATTTAGACGTATTTCTGGGTGTTGCTTCTCTCCTAACGTTTTCAAGCCTGAGCTGCCAAACGATTTCTGTGATTTCTCAAAAATCCTACGTACCTTTAGAAAAATAATGGCTACTCCGGCCCAAACGGTCCCTTTTAAAATTAATACACCATCTGTTTCTGAAGAGTAATTTGCTGGTGTTTGTGCGTTGCCTGCATATAATTTTTCATTGCGTTATTTTGTTTTTATTACGCCATTTTTTTCCCTTTAGGTATAACTAAATTAAGACTTTGAGTAATTTTGATTTTTAGTAGACAAAAATCTCAGTGTACCAGAATAATTTAAGGCATATTGCATCCTTTCTTACATTTTTCAAGGACTAAAGATGTAATAAATCATCTGTAGTAACACCAAAAAATATTTCTCATGGGAGCCCGAGAATAGAATGTCAAATTTGACAAAATTACATCTTACACATGAAATTTTCAGAATTTTAACTGTGTAATCATTATTCTTGTGAAATTTGTCATTCATTTTCTCGGACTTCCATGAGAAATTTTCTATGGTGTTGCTATACTGATGATTTATTACATCTTTAGCCCTTGAAAAAAGTAGAAAAGAATGCAATGTTCTTTAAATTATTCTGGTACAAGGTTTTTGTCCACTGAAAATTAAAATTACTCAATTTTCTGGTGGATTCCCTTATAATGTGTCTAGGCCAGTCAGATGTTCGCGGCAGTACCTAACCTAAAAGCCTAAATTCAGATGGTCAGTGCGAACATTCTTTTAATTCTTGCTGTGCAATGTAACGCTTCAAGTTGGCTGGTAATCAC